TGAGTATGGAGAGACAGGCTGTTAAAGCAACTGGGGGAAGGGAATTCCTTCCATGTCTCTGTCTTCTGCTAAATTCCTGCCAGATCCTGGAGCTCGAGCACTTTTGCAAGCTTCTGCCCTGTAGAGCTTGTAGGCATACTGAAAGAGATCCATACACGGCACTGTTTCCTGACTACTCCTCTTCTCTGTCAGGAAATAGTTTGTTCCTCACACTGCACAATATACCACTGAAATATGTCAAGCCATTCATAATCTATCAAAATGAGATTTAACCGTGAACAATAGGAAAAGAAGTTGTAACATGAAAGAAAGTGCTGAATTTAGAAATGGAATTAATACTTATTATTTTAATCTTCAAATGAAGAACAGTTATGCCAGTTTTGGGGTGGCTGGTTCATCTTCTATATTCTAATTTCAGAAATAAACCAGCTGGTTTTGAAATAGCATGAAACTGCAACAAAAAAGATTTTTTTTTTTCCTGTTAACTGTAACTATATACTCTGCTTTGATTTCTGAGAATCATATTTTAACAATACTCCACATGAGCTATAAATAAAACTTACAAAAAAAAAGTTTACCAAAGTTTTCCAAAGGCCTGATATTTGTTGGAAGAATTGTCCCTGCTACTGTAGTAGAAGTGAGAAGAAAGGTCTCGGCTTCAGCTCCATAAGACATTAAAGGAATTCTGGAAAAGTAAAAGTTAATGTTAGTTTTTTTTAGCTGTTTGTAGCAAGTTTTCGAAACAATGTACAAAACCAAAACATTAGGCAACCATGACACTTCCAACCTCATCACAGTTGGAGAGAAAGGCAAAGCTGACAGAGAACAAAACTTTCCTTCTCTTACTTAATTTCAAGCTTATATTACTGCCTAATCTAGTGAAACAGTTTGAACAAGGTATGTAACGTTAAAGCAATATACATTTGGCTTTCTTCAAAGCCAAACACAGAACTGTAACAGTCTACTCCAAATTAGTAGGCTATACTGCTTCAAATAGAATTCTGAACACTGATTTAGTACTTCAGCAGAATAGCAGCCTTTTCTGCAGAAAAATGAGAAATAGTCTACACAACAACGTAGTAAAGGCTTCTTTTTTTTAACAAACAAAATAAATATATACATATTCAGGCTCCCTCAGCAAACCTTGGGCGAAAACAGAGTTTAGCTACAGATCTACAATTTTTAAGTTATCGCTGAGTTAGAATGAAATTTTCCACAAGGAAAAGTACACATAAAAAAATTAAATTCATTATTTAAATCCTAGGTACAACTTTTAATTACAGTTAAAAATCTCTTTACTTGCTCTTTTGTCTTTAGCCTTTGTTTTATGCTAAAGAGAGTAGAGAGACATGTAGTGAAGTTAAGATCACAGACAGAACCAATTTCTTACTGTGTTATTTTAAAATCAGTTATTTTTATGCTTCTGCTTTATATTCATGAAAACATCCTTAGGGTATGTTTTAGCATGTATCTTCTCTCTGACAAAAAAAAATATTTTATGTTCTCTGTTTCATTTGATAGAGCCCCTCTTAACTCTTTCTAGATGCATTTGTTCATGAACAATTGCAGAAAGAAGTGTTAGAACCAACCCATGAAAGAGGGGGATGAGGGGAGAGGGAGGGAAATCAGAATCAGATTGAAGTTAAAGCAAATGTAGTCTGATTTCTAATGATAGAAATAATTTAAAAAGCACATTGAACACTAGTTTCCAAACAGAAGATGTATTTAAACTTGCATTTCTGTGAAAAAGTGACATATTAAGATGCACAAGTCAGTGGAGTTACTATGCTTGTTGTATCAAAAAAGCATTAAGATACACAGAAGAGAATCTATTGACGTAAAAATTGCATGCGGCAAATACACAAAAATTTAACAAGTTACATGCAAACACTATTTAGTTATGATCAAACGATATTCTATCTAAAGAGCAATTTGAATTAATCAAGTTCCAGACGTGAAGTATTATATTAAGATCCTTTGCACTATGAATACAAAACACATACCTTTCAACTCTAGCAAGCACAGATGAACAGGATAATTCCAGTTCTTGTCTCTTCTGTCTAATGACTGCATTGACTTCTGTGAATTCTGTACTGAAATACAAATTTCATACAAAAAGTTACAAGAAGTAACTTTGTACTATGACAATTTTGTATTTCAATAATTGCTTCTATCAATTACTTTTTTTAAATTTAACTGTATTAGAACTTTCAATGCTCATGATGAAACTATGCGTGATTATTAAAGCAGTCATAGTAAACATAACGGAAGTCCTAAATAAATGAGGCAGGCAGAATGGAAAACAGGGGATGAAATGTATCTTCTGGGGAGTTGAAAGATGGACAAACTTTGCATCCTTGACAAATTAATACTGTTGCATGCATGGCAAAAAGTTTCATTTACAGACTGCTGAAAACATACAGACAATTTTTTTATTAGGCCATATTATCCAAATAACGTTCTTCTAGACTGTTCTTTTTCTTCCATCTTCTCCACAAAAAAACATTTTTTACACCCGTTCTTAAGTATTAGGCTCATTTGGCAAAATTGCTTCATGTATGTTTAAAGTACTCCTCTTGGAATCAAGGAACAACAACAACAAAGATTGTTTCTGATACAAAACAGGATATTTACTGTTAACTGTTTTGCTAATTGCTGTTGTAGTAACAGGACTAACCCTTTCCTATCCAAAGCTTCAATTCAGCAAGGAGTGTAAATATGAGCTAAAAGTAACACTTATTAACTCCTATTAAATCAATGAGATTAAAAGCACACACTTAAGTATTTTAATGCTGAACACACGACAGAAATTGGGGTGTGCCCTTAACAATACTAATTTTAGAATGTTTGTGTTTATCCTTTAACTGCTCTTCATCAATGAATATAAAACCAGCCAATCTTCAAAATATTTCATGGCAGTACATACAGAGAGAAGCAGAATGAACTACAGCATCTACGATACAGTAACCCATCAGTTTATTTTAAGCACTAGTATATACTAACCAGTCATTTCTACAGCTAAAAAAGGATTCTTCATTGCTACCACCAGCTGGAAGCGTGCTGAAGAAATTAGTTCTGAAGCACTCATTCCGGGAGGTCTGTCTTCTGGGCTACAAAAAAAGAAAAAATTATGAATTAAAGACATCCAAAATAAAATAATTAACATTTCATACATGAAGATGCACTGAAATTAAATCGTGTCAGCAAGACTTCAGCTCACAAAAAGCAGGCACAATAGTAGCTCCATAGTTATATGCTGAGATTTGCAGTTAGAGCAAACAAGTTTTCTCTATTCAGTCTCCAAATTTTCAACACCTGCTCTTTGCAGGTAAACTTTGTATTTTATATAGGCTTTCCACGGCAAAATCTTTAATGCTCCATACAGAAATTATGAATAAATGAGCCTGATTTTTACTATTTCAGAATTCCCATTTCTGCTACCTAACAAACCACAGTAAGTACGGCGCTAGCAGCTTCAGACAGACCCCTTCACAGCAGTTCACTGAATGGTTGGTTTCAAAGTAACAAGAAAACCTAACATAAGTAGCTGGGATTCTCCTTTGCCTTCAGGTAGGATTACAAAATCAAAGATTGACCGGTGCGTCTGTTTACTGGGCCCTCACACGAAGGCACAATATTCAGAGTCCACTTCATATTTCAACAAATACCACCGCCTATTTCAATTGCTAAGAACACCAAGCCACCCCCTGTATGCTAGCGTATTGCCTTTTGCGTTCTGTGCAGTGAACTGTTGCTATTGCTGTGTACTGGGCTGGCTGCAGGGGAAAAAAAGCTCATTCTCCCAGACTACCAGACTGACACACTTACCCATACTGACCCATTTTTGCCATTTATGTCTTTTCACCTAAAGGGTTAATGACACATCGAATCTGACTAAAACACTCCTTCCTGTTCATTCCCCATGACTGACTGGTATTTTAAAATGGGAACTTACAGGGTCTTCCCATCATTTTCTTTCAGAATATATTTACTCTGATGAAAAATAAACTTTGTAATGGGATATATGTAAATGTATGTCTCAAGCACGCAGTCATTATCCACATGCTCCATCAAACTTTGGCACAGAGAGCTGGTTTTGACGAGAACATGCCCTATTTCATCAGTGTGTTTAAGTTTCTCCTAAAAAGCTGTTGTTCTTAAGTTTTATTTTAGAAGTACTATCATTTTGAACAGTAACGTTTCTCCCTCCGTCTAAAAAAGCTATCCAGATGTTCCACAAATATCCTTATGAAGTGGTTGTTAGTAAATCAGTGCTTTCTTTTAAATTATTTTAAATTTTGAACGTTTATTGGATTATTGAGCCCTGTACCTCCTCCTGAAGGTTTTTAATGACTCTACTTTTGTTTATGCACCTTTTTTGCAACAGGAACCATTTGAGACATTAGTGTTATTAAATAGCGCACAATAAATCAGTGAAACTAGATATGAAAGCACTCACCAACCTTGAAGTCAAATTAGAGGTTGATCTACCATTAAGCCCTATCCTTTCAGTTCAAAACCTCTTCAGTTCAATGAAAGGTGCCTTTAACTTTACACGGTAACAGAACCAAAATTTCTAAATACCTGACTTAGAAGGGAAAGGCTAAAGATACCTCTGAGAACTATGGCATATAAGCACCAAATAAAAGTGACAGCTCAGGCCACCAGTTACTGAAAAGACACATGATGCAGTATGTGCCCATATACTACACGAAGCAAGGCAGCAGGCAAAACAGGGACTTAAAGACAGTTTTTCCTCCAAATTTTTAAACCTCAGGTAAGACAGAACGATGGATAACGATGACGTTTACACTTCAGAATGAAACGTATGGCCTAAAACTATTTCATGCAAACATAGTTGTACCTGCAAATGTGAGTAAGAAAGCACTGATTACAAACTTGTGTCCCAGAGACACGAAGTATTTTTGAAAGGAGGGAAGGCAGAAATCAAACAACAGAGCCTTTATAGCTCCTTATAAATTCTGCATATTCTAAGCCTGTGTTATAGTCCAAAATTTATGAACTAAACAAGAAGCCTGGAAACACACACATTCTTGGGAGTAATCTCCCATTAAAAAAAACAACTTGATGCAAACTATAACGTCCACGGCTTATTCATGTAACAAATTACCTGGTTGATTACAACTATGCATTTTCATGAAAATAATGAAAGCCTTCATATCCTTCATGTAATGGTACTTGGCTAACAGCTTGTAGCTGATACCACCTTCTTTTGGTGAAGAAAGATGAAAACAGGGTGGTTACAGTATCTTATAATGTAACATCCTAATCTAAATGAAAATATTTACCACCACAAAACTAAGTTTATTCTGAGAGAGAAGCTCATATAACCTAGTACTATATTCCAATTACTTCCTTCAAGACAAAAAGAGACAAAATAACAAAGTTTGGATCATACTAAAATTAACAATTAGAAGTTAACCTTAAAAATAAGCAGAAAGGTAGTTTTAAAAATGCTTTCATGAAAAAAATGTTCACAAATGCTTCATTATCAGAACCAACCTTGTTTATCTTCACAGACAAAGCTTTCTTGTTTCGCTTGTCATACAAAATATTACCTGTGTGGAATAAGAAACAAAACTTTGATCTTAACTTCAGCATATTAGTTTTTAGTTGTTTGTCAAAATCATTAATGCAATGAGAGGTTAATGATAAATGTATCTCAAGTGTATTTACAATGTTTACACACAAACTAAGTAAAATTAAAACGCATGCACCTTTACAATAGCTTTTTATGTATCAAGCAGTTTTCACCTCTTCAGATATTTGCTTAGTTTCGTAAGTTATGAACACACTTACCGAACAATATCTATTAAACAAGCCTCTCAAAATGGCAGCCCCAAAATACAGCTAAGTGCTTCTTGTGTCTGAACTCTCACCAAAATCTTCCTGTGAATAAAAGCTAGTCATTAGCTGTGCACCAACTGTCTGATGTAGAAAATGACTTTAGGCTGAAATCAAATCCATTTCACTTGTGACTGAAATTGAAGAGGCAGTCCTTCCAGTTAAATAAGAACAGTAGTTTCACATACTGCGGTTTTGTTCTCTTAAGTTCCATGCTTCTATTCCTTGGTATTTGGTTTTCATAGGCAAATGTAAGTAATTAAAAAAAAAAATTAAAATGGGCTTATCAAGAAAAGAAATTCTAGAGTTCCTTAATAAAAAACAGCAATGCTAGCAAATGGAAGACAAATACCAACTTACTGTATTTTTTCTTCACAACTCTGCTTAATTTTGCTGCTAATGGCCCTCTGTCTGGACAGACAGCTCTTCTGCAAGATTAACAAAAGATATTACAAAAGTTATTCCTGGGCATATTTAAGCTAACAGTATATACACCCAAACAAAATCAGCTCCTATTTTAAGGAATTTTTATTTCGTGCACATAAACCAAGTTCTGACGCTATTAAAACCTGAACTTGCATCATGTATATCATCTTCCATATATTAAAAAGCCACAGTGCTTCACAAAGCTTACAGATGGAAAAAAAGAAAATCCATTTACACAACAAAAGTTAATATCCTGTATTAAATCTGAATGCTTAATTTTGCTTGATTTCATGGCAACATGTGAAAGGTGTTATAACCTGCTTGCATAAATATTTTGAAAAATATTGGTCAATGGTGATTCAGAACAGTGAGGTGCAAAGATCAATCTTATTTTTTTAAGAGCCAAAAAAAGTAATTTACTTCCAGTTATCTTTTCTGTAGTAAAGTCTGCTTCAAATTCAATCTCAAGAACTCTGTATATACCATACATGCCATTAAACGCTGACTTTAGAATATCACTATTTAGGGAAATTCATCTGTGTAATACCTGAGCTTCCCCTTATACAATGCAGCAAATGTGACAAGATGAAGCTTCTCAAAACAGGAATGGTGTTTCCACAGTTCCCCCTCAAACTCACTAGAATAAAATCAGTTCTTGACTACAAGGTTTTACAGTAAAACAGGAACACCACTCATGTTTATGATAACATGCAAGAAAGGGGATGTCTGTTTAGATAGCCAAAGAAAAAGGTTTCTATTGTTAAAGTATGATCTAGCCATAAAAATCTTAATTCAAATTAATAAGAAATTTGTCAGAATTGCTTGAAAAATGCAACTTTCACAGAGCTCAATGCAAGAAACACATTGCTCCTTACTTCTTGCTTGCTACTGTAAGTATTCAAGTGGGAATTACATCAGTGATAAAAGTAAAGCTAAAATGCCACTGATGGAAAAAAACTTATTTTTTAAAAATTTCCAGGATGTACATTTTAAAACAGTTGAATTTATATTTTGAATATTCCAATTAGAACGCTTGAAATGAAGCCGATGACCAACCTCACAAAACTTCTCATCTTTGCATGGCTATATTTTCCCTTATTGCAGGCACAGTTTTCCTCTTCTTCCTTCCTCCTTAGTTGCTTTTTAACCTGAACCTGTATTGAAAAATAAAGTCAAACCAGTCTAGAATCTCAGTACACATGGGCTTTAAATACATTCGAAGACTCTTAAGGTCTGCAGAGAAAATAAGCTCCAACAGAAGAACTCAAAACCATTTCAAATCATTACTTCTTTAATCTCACAGTTTGCAGATTTGAAATTTTTTTCATTTGTTTTTCATGAAATGGAAAAACCCGCCACCTTGATATGTATATTGGCTATGCCAGAGATGCATACTAATTCCACAAGACCAAAAATCCCTGAACATTCAGACTGCCACGGCAAGTATCTCAAAACTATGCACTATCTTCCATTGAGAATTTGGAGATAAGTTTTTTAAGCGAAGTTGGTTAATGTGACTACACAAGGTTCAGCTTGGGAAAATGGTCAACTACCACTCAATTTCAAATGCTTCCTCATAATTAAAAAGCACCCGATTTTCCTCTAGAGTAAAACAACTTATGGATTTCATGTAGCATTTTTTTCCCACACCTTTGAAATTCTAAGAAAGTAATACAATTTTTATTACGTACTATGAAGTTACTTCAATGGCTACATTGCAATTGTTTGCATTAGATATTCTGTATTTCTTCATTCTAGAATCTTGGCAACTCCTTAAGCTATTAGCATTCTAATTACTAATATCACAAAGGGAAAGCTGCCCACGTGCTGATAGCGCCCCTGCTAATATTGACCACCGCGTCAGCATTTCTCGGTACACATTCCATCTATCCCTACTGCTCCAGTGGCTCTTCTTCAGAGCAGGACCCTTGTTCTCTGCCCAGCTGTTTACACTGCAGTTCTATGAACAAAAAACCCCTTTCAAACTATATTTTGGTACAGCCTTTATACTCTTCCAAATGAAAACTTCAGTTTATCTTGTTTCAGCTGCTTCCTTGATTCTTTAGAAATAAAGAAGATAAAATATGCTAGCATGGTTTTCTATGAGAAGGAAGTATCTGCGGCCGTCAGTCTGGTTCCTTGGCAGTTGACTACCTGGGCCTCTAGAAGCACAAGAAATGGGTAGTGGGAACCTGTTTTCTAAACATACCAAAATGCAAACCCAACAGCTTAGGAATTACCTATAACCATAATTTCACCACAGAATTTCAAAACTGTACACAGGATTATCAGCATCTTACTATATACACTTTCAAGATCATCTATCAGAATCAAGTTTTATTTTCCTTCTTGATAAACTACTCTCCACAGCAGTATTATTCAGAAGAGTTGAAAGCTGAAAAAATGCAGAAATTTAGGTTGAACAAGGCTTAGTATTAATTGACTCCTCTTGCCTTCATGTGTTTTTGTCTGTGAATTGGAGGCTGTGAACATACAAGATTCACCTCAGCTAAAAGAAAAGGCAAGACTGCATGCTAATTGATCTAGCACTCACTTACAAAACCTAGTTAAAAAACACTGTGAGACCAATTACTGTACTTCTGTTCTTGGATATATCAGGAACGCTCAAAGATACTATAAAGTAGCAACAGCAGCTTTGTGATTATTATTACTGTAAACACTTGCTTTGAAAAATTAATTAAGAATAACTCCTAGCTTCAAATATGTAATAGAAACAGTAAAGCAATAATTATTTTGTTAGGAAAGCTTATTTAACACAGACGTATGAATAAAAGGCTGCAGCATAACTTGGGTGTTCCTACAGCTGAAGTTATTTTAGAAAATAAGCCTGGAACTTACCTTTATCTGCTTTTCTAATGCATCAAGCCTGCATACTGCTTGAAATGGTCTGCGATCCATAGGACATGAAGCCTGTGTCTGAAAAATTATTTTCCTTATTACAAAATTCGTAATAAGTTAGAAGTCTCAGTTTTCTATACTTTTATTCTCTATTACAGTAGCTTACAGAAATACACAAAATTACAACTTGTTCACATTAAGAATGTATTTGCACACATTATCCATACCCTCAGTATTTTGTTTCATATAAATAAATTGCTCCTTAGGAGAAAAATCTAAAGGAAACAAGAATGTAACTCAGAAGTTGTGTTCAAAAAAGAAAAAGCATTTAACATCAAGTTAACTACATTTTTAAATTTTTTAATCCCTGTTAGGCAACTCTGATTTTATGCCAATACACAAACGTCCTTTTTACTTCTTATTGTTTCTAATGTTTTATTTCTTAATGTTCTTTTCAAAAGAAAGTGTGCTGGGTCACACCCCACCCAAAACATAAAACTGGGAAGACCAACATCAAACAGGGTAACACCTTCCCTCATCTTGCCTATCTGTTTGACATCTCTTTTTTTGCAGTCAGAAGAGAGAACAGATTCCGACAGTTAAGACAACTAAAGTTTTACATATCACTTTGCAAGAGAATGGAACTAAAGAAGGTTATTTTACCCTACAGTTTGATGGAAATACAGATTTAATTGTTTTTTCCCCAATCACTTAAATGCCCTCTTATTGAGGCTGCACTACTTCAGATAACATGCACACATGGAGAAAGAATAAAAAAAACATTATTAAGCACGGAATAAGGAAGCTTCAACTGAAGTTCCACCCAACCAGATCATGTAGTGAAACAACTTTCATAGAAATCCATATTTTTGCTGCTAGAGAACTATTTACTAATTTTAGTTCCATATATGTGTTTGTGGGGGGTTTGGTGCGTTTTCTTTGTTTGTTTGTTTTGGGTTTTTGTCATAGCTCCTTCCCCTCCTCACCCCTGTTCCACTGACCTTCACCGGCTCAGTTCAGAACTCTTCTAAAACAAAGAAAAAAAAAAAACCCACACCCAGCCTCCAGCCCTAATTCATCCACTGAACAAGAACCAGTGTATGAATTGTATGCCCTTAAGAGGCATGCAATTTCTGCCCTTAAGAGAACTATCAGGGTATTACACTTTTTATTCATGCAAGCAAGATGCAGTATTAGAATTGCATAAGCAGCTATAAGAAACTTGCATATGAATTCTGCCCTGAAATTCAGTGGTGAACTTCATTCTTGTCTTTTCATTGGGGCTTTTCATTTTCCAGTTCATACTGTTCTTTTCTCAATTTCAAAGAGTGCTCAGTTTCTTTTTCACCTACACAGCCCCCAAACCTCGAGTACTGAGGCAGCTTCTGATTTCAACTGAAGTAGACAGAACAAAGTTAGACTGATTAAAACAAACCACCAAACAAAACCAAAAAACCCCTGGGGTAGTTTCATGAACAAGTTGTTGAACAAGAATCTAAGTTAAAGCCATTACCTCTCCTTTTGATGCTCCGGTATTTTATCCTAACTAAAAACTTCTCCCTGTTGGGGGATACCATTGTTCCCTGCAGTGTCATGGCCTTGGTTAAGAAAAGCAAGCCAGTTCCCTAAGGACTCCGATCATGAAGACAGTTTTTGTCCTGTAGTCAACGTAAAGCTAACGCACAGTAACATAGCAGTGTATTGTTCAATTGGGATATTTGATAGTATGCAATGCACTGTAACTGTTGAATCCGCTGCAATCTTCAAGGTAAATACTTCGATTCTTAGAGATACCAGACTGTCAAAGACAGGTAGGAGGAAGTCGATTTTCTTAGTCATTTTCAGTCTCATTTCAGGATTTACCTTAGCTGAAAATTAAATTTTTCCAAGAATACAATCTGTTTCTACATTAAATTTACACATGAATATTAAGTTATGTTCCCAAGTTTAAGTCACAGTAAGTTATGTTTATTCACTGCAATGAAGTATCATAGAATACGAAGTGTTACTAGTAGAAATCCAAATGACAAGCATTTTTGCTCCACTAAAAAAAATGTTCACTGTTATATGTTCAGTTCTTCTGGACAAATGTTTAACAATTACATACAAGTTATACACAGTAGTAGAAAAAGAGGAAAACATTCTGGGAGAATCAAAAGCCTCCATTAGGTTCAGATATGTTCAGAAACAGCAAATGCTCTTTCCACTCCTACTCAGTTGCTTTTCATAGCCCTAGCACTATCTGATAGTTGGCAACAGATCTCAAGAGAAATTCTAGTAAAGACAGGACAGTCCCATGTGCACCCCCACGCCGCTCAGCGCAGTACAATTGTTGGGTAGCCCTGAGGAAAGCTAGAGGTTACTTCACCTATACAACACTTATCTAAACATGCATCAGCTCTCATCTGTCTGCTAACATATAAGAACAAGCTTTTTAAGTGGAAATGGAAGAAAAAAAATTTTCCCCGTCCCTTTTCCCAACATCAAGACTGAATTTGTGCTGCTATAGAAAGGAGTGAGGGTAAAAAAAAAAGTTGACTACATTTTTACAAGCAGCAACCATGAGGAGTAGTGGCCTTTTACTCATCTCTCTCATCTTTTTTGAAAAGATGGTTCAGTAACCAAAGGTGTTGAGTCTTCTTTCATTCAAGGCAAGTTAGCAATTCCTCTCTTCCGAGGCTTCTGTTCAGGTAGCATCATAAGTAATAGTGAATGTACACTGTCCTTTTGGGGGAAAAAACATTTAAAACAAGAAAAAAGTCATTGAGATGGAATGAGTCCAAGAAGCAGCAGCTATCACTTTTATTGTGCACAAGGGAGGAGGGGTGTGGGATGCACCACAACCTTAGAAGAGCCACAACTTCATAAAATATCTTCCTTTAATATAGCTGTTTAAAAACCAGAACATGTAGTATTTAATGTAATCATCAAAATCATTAGAACCTCACAGCTGGTATTTGTGAGTTGCTTTGCTTTTCTTCGAAAGACACAGAATAGTAACTCAGCACATTTCAAAATGTCTTCGATTGTTTTACTCTTCACACAGAACTACTCATAGTTTTCATGTTAAAACTGGTAACTGCAGTGATTCATTCTTTCACCTATCCTGTGATATCCGGAGAATTCTCTTCATAAAATATGTAAGCATTCATGAAGTCTGCAACCCCTGAAAAGCTATCCATAAGCATGTGTGTGTGTGTTTGTTCCTAAGTTTTCCAAACACTCATTTCATAGTATTTTATTTGGTTTTGATGACCCTCTAGAATAATCTTGCTTTAGCTCCACAGGCATAACTTAGTGTTCAATATTCCTGTAACTGCTACAGCACCACAAAACTGTGATCTCTAAACTCAAGGAGTAAGCGTCCCTTATTTTAACTGCATCACTTCAAACAGCATTTGAACAAAGTGAGGTAGACAAAAGACTGAAGCAGTTACTAGGAATTCCAGCTAGGAATTTTCAGAAAGCTATACAAATAGGTGCAGACTAACCCCAAAACATATTTGGCTGATAAAATAACTTTGGTAGATATCCCCATCTCATCAAGTTCCATGTTATGAGGTTTCATAACAAGTACTAACAAGATGTATGGAATTAAAATTGCTGCAGTAAATTCCTTCCCCTATAATTTTTTTTTTCTTCAAGTGGCCCATAACAAAGTATGTTCTTCAACTACTGTATTGAAAAGCTGATCCAAAAAGAAACATGATCCTGCACTCTTTACTGCTTCTTTATTAGAGAACCTGTTAAGCAACACAAATAACACCAGATTCTCATAACTCAGGCTTAAAGGTGAGGTTTAGATTGTAAAAGTAATGTCTAGATATTTTACTCCACCTAGTAATAATAGTACACTAAAAAGCCCACAATTCTGCCTCCAACTTCAGTGTAAAGGGAGACTGTAACAACACATGTAGTGAGAAACACCTCTCCACATTTTGATGAAAGAAAAGGAGGAAGACATCAGAAAATGCACTATTTTCTAGAAGCATGTAAAAACTCAGGATGACTTTTTTTTTCAGTCTACTTAAAAGCAAGTACATGTAAAGTTTTTGTATGCTTTAGGAAAGCACTATTTCTGACATGAGTTTTTTTTTTTTTTAAATATCATTCATAGATAGTAAAGATACAGAGTGCATAAGAACAGAGATTCTAGTCTCAACAGCTAATCAGACAACCTAGTTACAATTCTAAACAGCTGTCTTCTCTCTACCTACATCACTTGTTTGGCTCATCCTTAACTTCCAATCCAAAATTGCCATAAAGTGTTGACAAGTTCTAATGGAATGGTGGCTGTCTTTAGGAAAGGATGAAACGATTCATTATTTGTAAGGATCTGTGAATTCTATGATAAGAAAGATACTGTATGTGTCATTGTACTTCCTTTGACACTATATTATTGGAAGAATTGAAGTCAAACTCAAACACACTCGCATACACTTTTGCACTGCACTTTAACCATTTTAACATTCATAAGTTGCTGCATGAATGCAGTTGATAAATCACAGGAACACAAAATGGTTAAGGTTGGAAGGGACCTCTGGAGGTCATCTTGTCCAACCAGCCTGCTTAAGCAGGGAAATATACCAAGAACAACTGCATACCACAAAAACAAACATGTAATTTGAAAAAAGGTATCTTGAAGTCTAGATTTTCTGAAAGGATTTGATTAATAGAGTTTTCCATGCAGCAGTTCTCAGATGCATTGTCTATGTATGCATTACCTTGGACACAGTTAAACAAGGTTTTTTTATTGTTGCTTTGGTTTTTAAGTTTAGTGTTTCTTTGAATGCACTGCATATTTGGTTTGTGAATGTAATCTTAATCCTGTCCACAGTGCTCTGTACTGCAGATCACTGTGGAGCTTGTGGCCACATAAGCTGATTCCTTCCTATATCCTTTAGGACAAAATAAATCCAGATCAGAAAGAATACACATTAAGAATTCCACTTACCATATAGGTAACTCTCTTTACCCTCAGAAGAATATACATGTGCAGTATACTCTACATAATCAATAATCCAAACCTTATACTAGCACAAAGGAAACGACTATTCTAAGAACAGAACACCTGCTAGAAACGTAATGTAGGACGGCTCTTTGTGCCAACTGCTTTGTTTTATTAAGTCAACCACCGATACTGCACAGGGCCTACCTGAATATGCCCCAATGCTTTGGAGAATTTACAGCTGAACATACTCTACTTTCAAACCCTCCAGAGGAGGAAAATTGAGTGAGGGAAACCAGGTGCAGAGACGGAAAGATATAAGCTTAGTAGGGGAGGGCCACTGAAATCAATGTCTCTTACACAATCATTGTGATAATGCAGACAACACACAATCTTTTCTTTAGCACTCTTCTCTCATGGTGGTTCATAAGAGAAATTAATGGAAGAGCAAGGATAGAGATCTCCAGTATATTTATTAGCACTCTGAAAAACAGAAGGGAAGTTAAAAAGCTTACAGTAAAACACAGTAAATATTTATCTCCTCTAATTTAAGGAGGAAGATAAACAAAGATTGTTTTCTTTGACTAGAATACAAAAAAGTAGAGAGTTTTCCTCTAATGCAGGCAGGCAAGATACTATTCCTGCCAAAGCAGTTGTCTTAGCTGAGGTGGTTTTGGCTACTTTGCGTATCTGCTTGCCATAGATACCTAGTTGCCTCCCTCCACATTAGCTTTACTTAAATGCTTTCAGAACGGATTATTATAAACTAGAACATAGGTGCTTACCAACTGAAATACGAAATACAAGCGCACCAGAAAAACAAGGTTAAAAATTTTAGTTTTGATCCAACTAGTTTTAATCTACTAGTGGTATTACAGACAAGAGAAACACATAAAGTAATTACTTCCCTTGGTGTAACACAACAGTACCAATGGTGTTTGAAGACTCTAGATAGCGGGTTTTTGTGGGTTTTGTTGTTGGTCCCCTCCCCCTCCTTTTTTCCTACACAGAGAGCAATAGCCAAAGCTCCCTCTTTGTTATGTGGGCAGAATAACGTTATCATGTACATGTTCTTTATACTGAAAGCAACCCTTCACTTACACTACCCTTCAGGACTCCCACTGAAGGGTGCGTCCAATAGCCTCAGCTCCAGATTTAGTGCCTTTTACTTCTAATGATCTTCCAACATAGCCCCACTGAAATACAAAGTCTCAAGCTTGAAAGGCTCCATTGGTACATTACACAATGTCGGTTTACAGAAGCAGTTCAGAGCTAGCACAGGATGAATGACATTTATGTTAATCTTTGCATGCCTACTGAAAACAGTCCCCAACAGACTGCCTGCCCAGTGCTGCCCAGCAATTCTTGGGAGAGCACTGGTTAGCATGGCCAAAGGCACACAAAATGACAGTCTAATAAGTATAGGAGAGTTTAATAGCGTAGGCAACTGAATTTAGTGCACAATGATGCTCTCAGATGCCACAATTAACTACAGTAAACATAGCCAAAGAGGGTAGACCAATTTAAGGGACATTTTAAAAAAAGTTAATCCAAAGACTAGTTTCTTAGTGGGGATTCTGGTCTCCACCTCATTTTTCTTTTAGGAATTGGACACCCTTCCTCAAAGGGGAAGAAAATACAGCACTGAATCAACTGTAATGCTACGTAATTCTGAAACTAAATGCTCAGATTTAGCCATCAGGATCTAACGTATTAGATGTTCTGTGGCAAATTTCCTATCCCTTTTTAGCCCTTCATGGAATGAACCAGAAGATACTTAAAGCAGTATGTAAAAATTGCTTTTAAGTGTTACGTCTATCTATATTATCTCTCTCTCTCTCTTCTTAAAAAGCGAGATCTTCAAAGTGTTATGGCTGCTGCTTGCAGACAGAAAACCTGCTGGTACAGGACACGTAACTGCAGTTGCAATGTTGAAAGTCTCCCATGGATAGAAGCAGGAGCAGAATGGTAAACAAACTCCTACCGTCTGCCTAAACTACCCTGGTTTTAATTAAGAATCCAGAGAGTTATATATAAAAGCCATAAACTCTCAGAAGAACAAGGATTATGTACAATTTGAAAACAATAGTTTAAAGAAGTCGTTACTCCTGTTATATTTCGAAGTCCAGATGCAACACAAAGATAGAGGAAATATCCAACTTCAACACAGACTGCTGGCAAAGCCTTTGAGTGTATGGAGCATAACTGCAGATACAAAACAGAGCACTTCAAGTAATGTGAACATTATGGTGGTTTTTTTTTTTTTTTTTTTTAAGATTTTGCTCAATAATCTTCTCAATTTTGTTATTCTCCAGCGCTTAAACAGGAAAGCAGTGTTTTTAAAACCGATTTATTCATACCCAATAAAAATACTTAACCTTTAAACAGAATCTGGTAGCATATTTTTTTAAAGAGCAGATAATTTTTATGTCTTCATTTTTCAGAGTGACTTAAATTTCACTACTTGTCAATTATTTAGTTTTTGTTAGTTATGATCAACCAAGAACTAGCAGAGAAAGCTAAACCTTATGCAACATTTCCCAAAAAAGAACAAAAACTTTTACTTACTAAATATTAATAGTGGACACACAAACCACATGGCATCAGCATGCTTCAAATGGCCACGTGCTTATAATATGTTTCTATCATTCCAAGCTATAAAACCTCATCTGCTTCTCACAGCTGAAGCCTCTGAACATCTGTCAGCCAGTTTTCAACACTTTTTTTCCGCCCTTTACTTTTAATTAAAACTACTAGATTAGGCAATGGAGTTTCATGAATTCAACAGGTCCAACTGTCAAGTATCCTCAGAAAAGGAAGGCTGGCTGGTTTTACCCATCAGATGTCACTAATGGAAAGAAGCAGAAGCCTTACATAGCTTTATAAACAACCCTCTACCATTTTTATGGCATCACATCTACTTCACCTATAAACTCTTAAGAGCAGAAGTTGCTTTGTGCCAAAAAAAATAAATTGACATGACAAGAAAAATGTCGTATTATTCACTTACCTCATTAAAACAAGAAAATTTCCCTTCCTCATTGGGCTTATAAGCATCTGTTAGACAATGTGAACAAACTCAAATCGAGCACGAAGCTGTCCATCTAGTGTACTGCTTCCCTGTGCATTTCACTATTTATTGCCTTTCAGCTGCCATTATAACAACCAGCTAAGGAAGCCAGGATAAAATTGTGGATGAGAATTTCCTGTTCCCTTATAAAAAAAAGCACTGCAATTAATCATTTGCAGAACAGAAAATCTGGCAACTGGAGACTTAGTTTATTATCTGGTTTGTGAATCTAAAGCAAGTTTCATCTAACAACCTTTTTTAATACTCTGAAGTTCATACAATATCTTCAGAAAGAAGTGATTTATGTTATTGTCTGCCTTCAGTAATAAATAACACAAAAATTAAGGTTAAAAATATAGTAAATAAAAAATAATACATAAGTATATTGTTTATGTACATACATATAAGGGATACCAACCTTCTAAAGGATATACTGAAACCAAAATCATCATTTACTTCAAAAGAAAGTTATTGCAAAGAAATCAAGTAGTGGTCTCTACTACAACGAGCAACCAGTTCCAGTGCACAGAAGCAGCACAAAAAGCAGCATCTCATTTGAGCATCCCCCCCAACACAGTATCAAGCAATTCTAATTTGGTGTTTTATATTGACAATTGAAAAAGTTACAGGAAAGGTAAAGATACCAAAGACTTAATGTAATGATTACAGGACATATGTGAGGAAAAAGGGACTAAACAGAACAAGATCATCAAGAATTTGTTCAACAGGTCGTTTTTCTTTAAGGTTCCAGAACTATCTACAAAGGTATTGACATAGATCAAATAATAGCCATAATTAAAATGAAAATTTTTAATTCAGAATAGCACTAAACCTTTTAGTTGAACTCTCTTTAGAGTTAGAAAACTAAGGTTTTATCAGATTCATTTTGTAGACTAACATGAAAACGTATTGGTCCCAGCCCTGAGAGTTGACAGTATGACAAAGTATAAGGGATAACAAAATAAGATTCAGCTAATGACACTGAAATATTATGACATGTACATAATACTGTCTGATCTTCCAAACAGCCAACACCATTTTTTTACTGATCCCTAATCTCTAGTAACCATTAGTAAGTCAGGATGCCCAGTGAAAGAAAACACAAAGTACTTTATTTATCAACTGGTCATTGAAACACTTCTGTTCAAAGTCAGAATGCATAACTTATTTTCTTTAAAAAAATCTGTAGGTATTAGATGCAATAGATTTTACTGAATAATAAACACACACCGTGGTTCTCAGTCTTACCTCAGCCCATTTAAGAATACAAGTCATGCAGAAGGTATGACTGCAGTTCTCAGGAAAACCAATCTCCTGTTCTAGAATGCAGTTCAGACAGATGGGGCATGTGTCACCGTCACATAATAAAGTAGAACAGGAACAGCTTTCTTCATTTTCTTCACCTGGCATTATTAACATTGACACTTAGAATTTTTGACAGTTTTTGAAACAAAGTCCTTTAGATTTGAATAATAAGGCAATAAGATACAATTTTCTGTAGTTAAAAGCAAATTAATCAAGTTTTCAGGTCTGACGCAGTCAAGATGCTGGCCAGAGGAGTAGTCGGAAGAATGTATTTCAGGTCAAAAATACTACGCGACATATTTCATAGACTACTGTACCAATATTTGCCATTAAAACAAAGCAAAGTTAGCTCTAGTGCTATTTAAATAAGGAAAGCATCACACAGTATTTCCTATTGGCCGTGCAGTCATTTAGAACTTGGGAGAGCAATGTCTTTCTCCTCAGATGTTTGCACTCTCTCTCTCTGAAATCAATTAGACCAGCATATTCTATATTCATTATCTTATATACACATGGTCTACCTTTATTTTAGTTTTCCAGTCTTAGAACTACTTTAAGCTGAACATCCTCAAATATTTACCTAATCATGTACATTGAATAAAAAATGCTCCCAATTTTGTTAAAGTTAGAAACTGTTTTCAGAATATAAAAATGCAAGAACTTTTCTTCAACGAATTTTAAATTAATTGTTTTTGTGAATAACAATTGCTTACTCCATTTTTGTTCTGCTACTAGAAGTCAGCAAGTAAAAAACAGAAGAGACAGGAAAGGATTTGGGGACCCCACAGGCCAAAGAAAAATACTATGCTCAGATAGTGGTTATGTTTACACAACTTCTTTCAAAACAAGCAGCATACTAATTGAGAGAGCAAATGTAAAATCTGACCTTCACAGCTTGAACTCGAATAATATACTTGAATATTTCCACACACACAGACTTTACCTTCCATGCCTTCATGCTTCTGACCCTCAGTATCTTGAACACATTGCTTTCTGTTCTTCATCTTCTTACAAAATGTAGTCTGGAAAACATAGAAACAGTTTACCCAGTTCATTTAGATTGCAGCTTCAAAATAAAAGTGACCACTACAGATTTAATGAGTGCTCGCCATTTCATTATACCTTTGTAGAGTAAAAACAAGTGACATTAAGAGTTAGATATGGATCATTTACACAATCTGTTTGCAATTTATGAGCATCGTTAATGCTGTCTAGCAATTGATACTTCCAACTTGAAAATTGTTTTTGTTCAACAAACGCAAAGTTTTTGCAGTGTTTTAAGATCACCAATGGTGTTTTTATTTTTAAAAGTTAAATGTATTGCTAAGTTTCTATGAAACCCAGCCCACGTAACACTGCAGTAACAACTGCAAATTGCCCTTCACAAATGGTTGAAGCAACAAAATTAAACACACAAGCACCAGAAGAGTTAGTTGCTTTCCACACCTAGCATCACCGTAGTAGTGGCAAGTGAGAAAAACAAAAGCAGCTTACATTTGCTTGCTTCTTTCTTTTGTCATGCAATTAGAACTATTGGCACTCAGGAAAAAAATGGGGAAAGTTACATCATCAAACAAGGGACATGTCACAAGCACAGGTGCAGTGGAGTATCATGAATGGGGAGGATGCACCTTTTAACTGTTCTCCAAAGGAGCAGTATGAAATAAGAATAACATGAATAGAGAATATTCCTTGTGATCCACATCATATAGGTTGAAAGAATTTGATCTTGCGTAAGAAACATCAAGTGTATGTTCTTTGGAGGCTTACCTACTACATCCAGAATGAAACACACTTGGAAAAAAAAGTATCTATGCCAAGGACTGAATCTCCTGCATTTCAAACTCCTGTAGCCACAGCAGAGATGAGATAAGCACTTAAAGCTCCAACCCAACAGCCCTAGAGGGACCAGCAGTTTTCTTCAGAACTATATAAAGCTTTTAAAAAATTATTTAAAAGGACAAATTAAATCTTCACAAAAGACTAAAGAAATCAGAAATTACCAAGATTTACTACTTAAGCATTCAAACCTGAAGCAAACCGACCGAGGTTTCAAACCCCTTACTCTTTAATGCCTTTGCTAGAAAAAGCAGCAGGACAGAGCTAAGAACACCACAATCACATTCCTCAATTAAACTTCCTCCTATTTCACAAACTACACTGGTTTCCCTTTACCACCTGGATATCCAGGAGGGGGAGAGACAGAATTTGCCTCCCAAAACTTATTTTCTTATCAAGTCTTTATTGCTTGATCTTGGCAGCAGGAAGTGTTTTAATGATAATTTCTAATAAGGAAAAAACCACACGCTCCCACAGATACCCGTCACACAACACACTTCTCGTTTTCTTAGGCAATCCAAGAAAGCAGGACTCTGATCTGTGAGTCTCCAACACAGACAGTTCATTAAAGAAATGATCAAAACTGAAACTAATTAGAAATCTGTAATTAGAATGCTAAATGGTTTCAATGTTCCCATTAGAAACTACTTTTTAATCCCTCAAAAGGAACATGTGGATCAAGTCAACTGAGGGTGGGGGAAAAGGAAGGGAGAAGGAAACAAAAACCTAGCTATAAAGAAATTTTCCCCCTACGCTGCTGTCCTATTTTGATACAAAAACGACTTAAAAAGATATTATTAGAATAAATGCCATCAACTGTAGAGCAGTTATTAGTGCTAATATTAATACAGACTGTGTTGCAGTGAATGCGAAAGCTTGTATACAAGTTCTGTTAGTAGAACAACCACTTATTATCCTTTGCAGGCTAGGCAAGATGAAACCCAACAAAAGCCAACCTGCTACTTTAAAATTTAGTGCCTTAAACAAGCAAATCTGCATCAAATTAGGACAGGTAAGACCACCAAAAACACATCTGAACTTAAAATATGAGATTGAAGCCTGTTGCTCTCACCCTGATTCGCAAGAGGACTTTTAAGTGGCTTTGGTCCCAAAAAGTTTAAATCATGTGGTGGTGTGTGGTATACATACTTTTATATATAAAACATAAGAACATTCCTTCTGTTCTACATCTTAACAAAACCTCAGCAATGCTTTACAGAAGCAGAAAAATCCATAAGCTGTGCTCAAACCCCTCTCAACCCTAGAAGTCCCAGGACACATCACAGCTGAGACTATTTAAAGACAAGATCAAGAACTCTGCATCCATCCACAGAAAACATTTTAAATAGACACAATCTAGATACCAAATTGTAACTTAATCAGTAGTTGCAGAGTTCATGCTTATTGTAACAGAAGTCAAGTTCACTAAGGCAGATTGCAGAAACGGAACCCATAGAAGCTCTTTAGATTTGTTTTTCCCCAGAAAAAGTAACCTTTTCTCCACTGTACTCTTTCTAGATACAAAGACATCCCAGAAATTCTTGCAGTTACAATAATTAGAAAAACAGAGATCCTAAAATTTTGACAGAATATCAGTAAATCCAAGATGTGCAGCAACTGAAAACATTTATGCGGTGTTACATCGTTCTTCCTACAAACCTATTTAAACAGATACTGAGTGCCGCTAATGCATTTCACAGATCACTTTGCGCAGCACACCCTTCTGCCAATTTGACACTGCATTTCACATAACACGGAGCAATTTAATACTACTGAAATAGAAATATTTATAAAGTAAAAGACATCATCAAAATTTACATACTATTTAACAAATTAACTTCGGAAAGACTATTTTCTTCACTACTTTAAAAGGGGCATCACAGGCATTGGAATGGCGGAAGAGTGAACACTAAAGACTGCCGTTAAATTTATAAAATTAAAAACAGAGTTAGGAAAAGAAAACATAGTGGTTTAGAAGAAGCAGACAGCACGGAAAACAGAACTCTTATTTGTCCCAAGATGTGACATATTCCTTTAGATTCGCTTAAACTTCAAGAAGATTTGGAAGTATTTCTCAGACTTTGTCATTCCAGCCGCATGCCATACAAGAAATCTGTAGTCTTGGCTGGGGGGCAGACAGTGAAAGAAGCGAGATAATTTTTTTTGTCATTATCCCGGTTACCAAATTGTATGAGCTCACACGAAGATCATATTTGTCGATATCCGTGGCTAATCATGTCTGATCAGGCTAATAGGTATTTGAAGAATGCTAATACCCGAAGAGTACTTCTACCAGATTCCACTGACTCATAACCAACACGTTTTAGTTACCATCATTCAGCTGTTGATGTGAAATATTAGAAAATACCCCACAACCCACACATGCAAGGCACTTGACAAGACAGCAACAAGTACTATACTATGTTAGTGCTGACAAAAACAAAATCAAACCCCACACCCAACTCTATAGATAAAATACTTTGTAAGAATGCCTAAAGACAGCATAGCATTGCAGCCAAGATGGTACTTTTCTGGTGCTTGTAAGTTTTTAATGGAATTACTTTGTAAGAGGAATACCTTATTTTGAGATAAAGGCAAGAATACTCTAGTATATTAAACTGAAAACAGTGAACAAGGACATTACCACAAGTACACCCCGCCACCCCGTTATTTTTACAGGAGTTAAATGTTTAAGTTTCTAGGTTATTCTTCAAAGGAAATTCCTGTTCCTGTCTTCATGGAAGGCAGATGCCAAAGACATCTGCCAACAAAAGTGCTTAAACAGAGTTAATTGTAGAACGTGGGAATAGATTCATCACTGTCTAAGGAACATAGCTTCATGATGTAAACAACTCCATAAAGCAGACTGATATAAGTGTCATTCACACAAAAATTTTCTAGATCACAAAAACAAGTGTGATTTATCTTTTCTGTTAACACAAACTACTTCATACAATTCATAACCTAAAAATACAGATGTATTTCAACACTAATTCACTGTGCATGCAGAAAGAAAGACTTGGTCTGTTCAAAGTCATGCAACTGAATTTCTTACTGAACTAAAATCTATTACACTAAAATCTTAAAATTAAATAGGCATGGAAAAATCATCGGATGAACTTTTATAGTAGCCTAATTATGTGACACATGGAATTAGCACATGCCTCCTTTTTGACCAACTACAAGACAAAGTCTTTACAAGCGTTCTTTATGCCCTATAAATAAAATGCAACAGCTAAATACCCTCTTCCTCCAATATAGTAATGGTCTAGAGCCCTATCTACGCAGAAGTATATTTGGTCAATTGGAAAGCGGGGTGGAAATCAAGAACACATGCAACAAGATCTCCAGTAAGCAAGTGCAAAATGATGCCCAAGACTGGCTTATTCTTGTTCCCTTAACAGACTTAGGAAACATTTGTAAATAACCATTCAACTTCTTAGATACATGTTGCATCAATACTCATAGTAGCAACTTATTTTGACTGTTCTGTTTCTATTAAAAATATTTTCTCTTCTTTTAAAAAGGATTTGTGGCACTCTTAGTTGTGTTTTGATTTCTTTACTAACTCAAGAAACCATCAGTTTCAAATATGAAACCACAGTCAGCCATACATTCCAGGTACAGAGTTTATTTGCTGAATAAAACAACAATAACACCCTTTACTCCCATCAAAACTTTGGGCAGCAGTAAGTAGGACTATTTTGCCCTATGCATTTCGATCGTCTTTAAGAAACCTCTGAAGGAGCTTTAAGATCTCCCTCAGCAAGCATGTTTACAGAAAACAGATCTCAATAATTAGCCACATTTAGAGAAATTGAGATTTTTTAAGCAATTAGTGGCAGAATACGGAGTGTCCTCTGGAGTTCCCCATATGGGCTCACCATAACCTCTGGACCATTACTGGGCAAATGTCCAGCTGCTGCTGAAAATTTTGAAAACTTTTGCCAGAAGTCTTGTGCCATCTTGGAGATGGGCTGAGGAAACACTTAGTATTTCCAGTGGCAGCCGAACATTTGAGAAGCTTTTTACCTACTTGTATTGTTAAGTCTAACGCAACACAAACTGCAAGAAAAGAAAAAACCAAAAGACACTATTGGATATTTGCAAAAGTACATCAAGAACCTTCACAGTTCTTTTTATTTGGAAAAACTTTTAATTTGTCTGAAAAGCCTGGAAGGTA